TTTTTTTTAATTATAAAAATAGGTTGCGCTTTTTAAGACTAATTTTGACACAATTTTTAGCACAAATGCGTGCACATTTTGGCGTTCAAACGTATGTATGTAGTCAACGAAATGAGTTGACCATGTTATCACGAGGATACCCATATGCTGGACGTTTCGAAAATGCATCGAGTATATGTGAGCTTATGCTTGCATTTTTTCGCATATGTCCGCATTTTAGAACAATGCTTATAGTTAGGAAATTTCATTGCTTGATTAAAATTTAAAAAAAATAAAAAATAAACTGTTAATTTGGCTTTGTTTCTATGTATTGCTTTCAAAATTTTTAATTAAATAAATTTTAACATTCATTAATAATTATCAATAAGAAATGATCTACTTAACAACTAATAAACTCTATGCTGAATTATCAATAGTGTCGAACTCCACACATGTCACAACCAGGGGCGGACCCACATGGGGTCATGTGGGGTCAAATGACCCCACAGTTTTTTTTTTCTGCTGCTAAAACGGTTATTTGGGTTTAGGGTTCCAAATTGCAATTAATTATCCACTCCAATCCATTAATCCTATGAATTTATTTTTGTTAATGATACGTTGTTCGAAAAAAATTTCATTTTTGACCCCATAGTCCGAAGTCTCTGGGTCCGCCCCTGGTCACAACTGACAAATTCAATCACACGTGTAAATCTTCTTTAAACTGGTTTAATTTTGTCGAGTTTAACATATGCAGTCATAATTATTGGATCGAACTTGATAACTGTTAGTCGAATCAATACTCGACTATAAATTATTTAGTATATGAAATGGGCTCTTATTTTTAATAAAATTAAAATGAAGTCAGAAACTTGACTTGAATAATTCTAAAGCCTCCTATAATTTTGTTTGAGGAGGAGATTCTATTGCTGCTTTCGAAATGGCCTCCAAGGCATATTCGAGACAAGACTTGAACTTATCAGGGTCAATGAAACCTTTCTCCACAGCCAAGCAAATTCTCAGCTTTCCCACATAACTCATCACTGTTACTGAAAGGTTCTGCACAGTTCAGCGGGCACAACGTGCATGTTCAAGAAGCAACAATCAAGAAAAGGTCAATAAATAGATGGATTGAAATGTAAAAATTTAGATTTAATGGAAAGTGTTTGAAGACAATAAATCGAAAAGGTGAATTCTTCACAAATAAAAATAAGTGGTACACAACTGGATAATAATTGTGGATCCATTGAAATGATTTTTAAATTTTCCAAAGGGAGACTTAATATTTGGCTGTTGATGCCATTTTTCGTTTGATATCGTAAATTATAATATATAGTTAACAGATTATGTTTGACCGTTAGCTTGATAATACCTGTTTAAAATTATAAGCTAACTGATGTATAAAAATTTCTTGAAATGGTAGTATAAAGTACCTGAGGTGCCCCTACCACTGCAAAGTACAATCCTTTAACTGGTTGATTAGCTATAGCCATTTGTTCCACAGGTCCTATCATATTTGATATTCCCATGCTCGAATTCTTTAACGTGTTGCATATGCATCGTGCAGTTGCCTGTTACATAACGAAGTTATCCAAAATGGACTTAGCATATTAAGTAAGACGTGTTATTATCCAACATTTCATACCAAAGTGCACATATGTAGAGTGCAATTTTCTATTAAATGAAATTTAATGTATATTTACTTACCTCAGGACCTCTAATTTTTCTGATGGCATCAAGAAACTGGCCAGTTAGATAAACTGCTGCAGAATTTCTTTGCCTTTTTATCAGTTGGTGTGCTTTCTTGACAAATTTGAGTGGGTTGTTTAAATCAGAAGCAGTCAACTTCGGAATAGGAACTTGTAAGAATGCGAAACGATTGCCCCATGGCATTTCTGCATTGGGTTTGATCATCTCACTCACTGATTTATAACCGACAGTGGCTCGAGTGTTGAGTAATACAAGTGCTGTACATTTGGCTTTGCGTGAATCTTCATTCACTTTTTGCATGTATAATCGGTTTCCGAATATGATTATCCCAGTAATCACGTCATTAAGTGTCTGTAAAAGAACTGTAAACTTTCAAAGGATGTCAAGTTTTATGCCATTCATTCATGTTTATTTTAGAATCAACATATTTAGACAGTTTAGCTTTTGTGTATACAGAAGTATAAGGGGCATCCCACCTTTTTTAACCACTAGTTTTGGCAAGAGTCATGCCTCGTGTAAATGGGGCATTACAACAGTCCATCGTCTAGCCTATTTCCAACATGCCAGTAAAGTGTAAGCAATTGAAAGTGGCCCCTTACCTTGTGACCTATATTACCCTCGAGTAATGCTATTCATAAGCACAAGCGAAATGCTTCAAATAACAAGCTGGATGACTAGTCGTTGATTATGAATAGCATTATTCATTTCTTTCCTTAATCGAACCTTTAGGTTTAGAAGCCTAAAGTAGTGTGAATTATAATTTATTTGCATGCTATCACACTCTCTTCCTTTGTATATTCCTTATTTATATGTCAATCAAAGTCTATTACGTAAATCATATAATCTTTTCCATATATGGTAGCATTCTATTTGAATTCAAACATGAGAAAGTTAAGGGACGAAGAAAATAGAGAGCAATAGAGTGAAGCCTCAAGAGTTTACCACTTTAAGCTTGTCCTTGATTTGTTTGATGTGATCAATGGAAAATGTAGTAGTAGTTATAGCAATTGGCCGAAACTCCACTCCATCATCCCCGGATCTAATAGGCGATTTGTCATCCTTAATCAAACTGCTCTTCAAGACATTCCATACGAAATCATAAGCAGTGTTAATAAACCCTGAAAAAAAACGGGGCACACGCTGGCAAAAGCCATGGCTGTTACGATTATGCTGGAAGTTAGACTGACGCGAAGGGAATGTCAATTGAAGAGAAGGATTATCAACTCTTTGTAGACAGGAGAGAAGGGCTCCCATCAAAGAATAGCCATCTCCAAGTGAATGGTGAAGCTTGAATATCACATTTCCCGCTGCATTTTTTGTTGGGTACTTAAATATGTGAATTTCCCACAGAGGTCTATTTGGAGGAAATTGTTCCATTGCAAGTTTTGATAAATAGTCATTGAAGACCTCATCATAATAATCTGTTGACCTCCCAGTGGGGAAAACAGGCATCTCTACATGATCGTTTAGATTTACCTCCACCCTCTTCCATTTCTTTGCTCCTCTCTTCTCAGAAACCTGCTCGAACAAAATCACTTCTTGAGCGTTATATATTTGTTTCTTGCACTTGTGTGTTTTATTGACATGGAAAATATCTCTTAAAAATGAAAATATTTCCTTGTTTTGAGGAAAACAAAAATCTACTCCTCTCAAGAAAAGGAAAACTAAGCATATTTTTAAAGGTTGGAAAATGTTTTTCATGAAGAAAAAAATGGCAATCAAACACTCCTTAAGTTGGAATTCGGGTGAAACCGTCATTTTCCACAAAATTTTCCAACCAAATACAACGTTGAAATTAGATTGTTATCTATTAAATAAGGAAAATAAGATAACATTGTTAATAATATTGTGAAGTCAGACAACATTTTACCGGTTTACAAACATGCACTACGCATTTTCAATAATATGCACTCTTACTCGAGTATTTATCAAGTGCACTGTAAACTTGACTACAAACGCTTGTCACATCCAATCCTAAGCGACTTTGGTCATATCTCTCCCGTAAAAATGAAAAAGACAGAGACGATAAAACTCACCATGATTGAGGAGAACCGATGATTTATGGGTAAGAACACATCTTTGACGAGTGGCATTGTCACGGAATCATCAATGGGAACTTCTGATTCCAAAATGCCTAAAATAGTTAGTGATAACACTGAGCTTTTCAAATATTGGGCACTAGGACTCATTGGCTCAAGAGCTTCACCTTGCTCAAACTCCATGTGTTCTCGATTAACGCCTTGAAATTAATTTAGTTTTTGCAGTTTTTACTCTTTGCTTAATCATTAATAAATAGAGTGGCTTCTCACTGTACACAAAACTACATGCAATGGGAAAAGAATAAATTAATTTTGCTGCGTAAAGAGGGTAATATTATTAAATTTAATACACGTAAAGTAGCTCACTGACTCCTGGAATTAATTACTTTTAGTGTCGTTGTAGCGTGGATTTACTTCGTGTGACAATGTTGTGATAAAAATTACATTATTCAGCCCTTGACCACCATTAAATTAAAATTTATTTTTCTTTCTCTTCTTATTGATCATACATTTTTCAATGAAATAATATTACACGTAAACTTAAAAACTTTTCCTTCTTTTTTATTTACACATTTTTCAAAAAATTATTATTTCTTTCATTATTATTCGAAATAATGGAGCCCAAACTGGAACTAAAATGAATTGGAGGGACAGCCCGTTATAAGTCTATGTAGTACACAAATAAACATTTGAAAAAAAATGAAAAACAACACCAAATCTTCGTACTTTAAGTCTACAAGATTTCATTTCATAAGTGACTTCTATATGATTGTTGTCTCTCGTTGTTTTCTTCCATAAAATTTGAAAACGATCATTGAAAAAAATTATTGAAGGTTGTTGTTAGAGTAACATTTAAGTTAAAGATTTTTTATTATCTTTTGCATTCCAATGAATGATATAAGAAATTAAATATAATTAAAATATTGTGGTGTCTGTCCATATTCTGTTGTCCTATCTGTGAAGTTTACCTTAAGAATAAGTTATATATATGCCAACGATTAACCAGTTATGGGGTGCAATCTTTTGTCGTCCTTTTCTGGATGAAGTATAGCGATGAACAAAAAAATTATGGGTCCATATACTTAGTGGTTAAATGTACTTACTGTAATTAAAATCAATAAAAGGGCAACTTCAACTTAACTGTTCGGACAAAGATAATGAAAATTAAATCTAGTGGTGGGGGTGAAAGATAATCAACAGTCAGCATCAGCCATATATGAAATCCAATGGCAAATTAATTAATTGTTTGGATACTAATCACTTCTTAATTTTCTAGTGACCCGTTGTTTGTTATTCGACTTAATGTATATTCCGTGATTTGTAAATGAATCGTGCGTAGTAAATGAACTATTATTGTTGTTGGGTTTTTGATACCCAATAAATCCCGGGCTATGATGTTAACGTGGGTTAATATTATTTCATAAACATAGGCCGATGAATGAAATAAGTCCAACAACCAAGTCCATGAGCTACACCCGGCCCAATTTTATTCCTTATGGATGGCTTGAATCTTGGCCCGTTTACCCCTTTAATGGTCCAACTTAAAGCCTAACCCTAGAGTATATATATGAATATAACTCTAGCCTCTTTGTGATGATGATTGAGTGATTTTGAGAGAAGAAACAAGAGAATCCCGGTTGTCCCCTTTTGTGTGAGAAAAAGGGTGTCCAGAAGTGTCCAGAACGCTGGTATAACGTGTGCAATTGGTGGTTCTTTCATAGTATACCTTTGTGGTGTCTTCTCCTAGCCTTTGTGGCGATAAATCATCATCCCTTCTTGTCCTACGTGGGTAAGATTGAATAGCAACCAAGGTGAATCAATTGGTTGTGGTTTGGAGCCGTTTGGATTGGTTGTTGGTTGAGAAAGGTACGTTGGACTGAGCCTGGAAAACCACCATTTGAAGATCCTTTAGAGAGAGCTTCCGCAACAATTGGTATCAGAGCTTCAAGGTGAAGGTTTTGGCTCGAGAAATCTACCAGAAATCGTCCAAAAAATCGGCAGAAACGAGGCAGAAATCAGATCGAAAAACTGTCCAGAAAACTGTTAAAAATCAGCCACTGTTTTGGTGTTTTCTAACCAATCCAGAAGGAGTTTGGTGAAAAGGAGGCCGGATTCGTGATCTGCAGGTGGAGGCGGTGCTGTGTGACCGGCGCGTGTGGGCGACGGACGCCGGCGTCGGCGGCGCGTGGCTTCTCCGGCGTGGAGCGTGTGGGCGCGTACGGAAGTTTCTGGGGAAGCTTCCTTCAGACAGTTTGTTCCTTGTATTATTTCTAACATTTTTCGTGTTGGAAGTTTTCTGTTTCAGGGTACGCAGAAGAATCTGGACAGCATTGTTCTTCGGGCGTTCGGGACTCGATCGTGATTTTATGGTTGCTGCAGTTTCCAGAGACTTTAGGATGAACAGTGATAATCCTAAAGTGGTGAATTCGCATGTCTCGATATTTACGGACTTTCAGACGTGGTCCGCTCGGTATCGTGTTCTTTACTTTTTATTATTGCAGTTAAAATTAACGTGTAGGTTAATTATTTATTTTTCGCATTAAAAGTCATCGTGTGGGATGACGTTAGGTTTGAGGTAACCATTGCTTGTTGTTAGACCTAGAAATTACATGTTAATTATCTTAAAATTCTATGTGAATTTGTCACCAATTTTTCCTACACCGATAGAATTGCATGTGACCTTAGAAAAATTTACTTGACTGTTCTGTGTGAATTATGTGTCAGTACTTTGCTTGTGGTCATTATTTGGTATTGTTGGCATGTATAGGTTTAAGACAAATACGAAAAATAATATATATTTTAACTGTGGTGAAAGGATGATAATAAAAGGAAAAATGAGGATAGAGACAAGGAGAATATGATTTTAGGGTCGAGTAGTGATCCTAGTGAGGTTTATTGAGAGAATAAACCTGGTTTTTGCATTGCATCTATGTGTAATCCTTTCTGCATGTATGTGGTCACTTAATTCTGTTGCGATGTTGATTTTACACTTTCAATATGTTTGATGTGTGTAATTGCATGAATTAGAGTGATTTATTACTTTGTGTAATATGTTTACATGCATAGTGGGTTAAGTTTTGTGGCGTACTCTATTTGCTCTGTGAGTGGTGTGAGGGTGTGATAGTGAGAAGAAAGTTGGGCAGTCGTTTCTCTCCTTTATCTTTGTGAGCCTGTGTGGTTTGTGAGATTATGTGTGGCAGCCATGTTAGGGTTATATTCTTCCTCTTTGTGAGCCTCTTTTGTGAGTGTTGTGAAGTAACCGACTCTTTCTTCGATTCTCTTTGAGAGTGCCACCTTCACTATTTTCTTTGTGAATTTTTTGGGAGCATTGGTGAGTGGATTAACCTTTGCGGTCATCGAAAGGTGTTGTTTTGCCATAGTGAGTTTGAGATGCATTAGCAGTGAGTTGTGTGTCTTTTGGTGAGGTGGAGTATAGATGCCTAGAGGTACATGGTGATTTGTACCGGAGATGTGGAGTGTGACATTCGGATCACGAGTGGAGATGTGATCAAATGTCTAGGATCCTTTATCTGGAAAGAGACCCTGATCAGGTGGAGTATAAGAGAGACACTTCTATCACTTCTGTTAGGTGGAGACCCATTATCCA